ATGCCACATTTTTCTTCATATAACCCAGCTTCTTGGATTATTTGTTCAGCATACAGGTTGAATAAGTATGGTGAAAGAATAAAACCCTGTCAAACACCTTTCTTAATTGTAAACCATTCAGTGTTAACATGTTCTGTTTGGACCTCTTGGTCCAGGTACAGATTCCTCACAAACACAATTAAGTGTTCCAGAATACTCTTACTTTGCACTGTTGTCCATAACTTGTCATGATGCACATAATCAAAAGCCTTTGTGTAGTCAATAAAGCACAGGTAAACATTTTTCTGATATTCTGTGCTCTCAGCCAAGATCCATTGGACATCAGCAATGATATCCCTTGTTCCACAGCCTCTTCTGAATCTGGCTTGAACCTCTGGAAGTTCTCTGTCAGTGTATTATTGTAGCCATTTCTGTATTACCTTCAGTAAAACTTTACTTGCATGGGATATCAAAGATATTGTCCAATGATTTCCGCATTCTGTTGGATCACCTCTCTTTGGAATGGGTACAAATATGGATCTCTTCCAATCAATCAGCCTGATGTTTATCTTCCAAATTTCTTGGCATAGGTGAGTGAGTGCCTCTTGTGCTGCTACACTTTTTGAAAGATTTGCGATATATTCAAGGCCATATTTTGTCTCTCATGGACTTTTTTTCATTTTATTCAGCTTCAGTTTGAATTTGCATATGAGCAATTGGTGGTGTTCCACAATCTGCTCCTAGCCTTGTTTTAACTGATGATATGGAGCTTTTCCATCATCTCTTTCCACAGATATAGTCAATTTGATTTCTATGTATTCCATCTGGCGAGGTCTCTGTGTATAGTCGTCTCTTATGCTGTCTAAAGAAGCTTTTTGAAATGAACAAATCGTTGATTTTGCAGAATTCTGTCATGCGATCTCTAGCATCATTTCTATCACCAAGGCCATATTTTTCAACTACTGATCTTCTTTTGCTACTTTCTGCATTATTCACTATTTGCCCACAGAATCCTTCAGTATTGCAAACCAAGGCATGAATGTTTTCTTCAATTCTTTCAACTTAAATGCTGAGCACGTTCTTCCCTTTTGATTTTCTCTTTTGATTTTCTAACTCCAGGACTTTGCACGTTTCATTATAAAACTTTATTTTGTCTTCTCAAACTGCCCTTCAAATTTTTTGTTCAGCTCTTATAATTCCTAATTTTTCCCAGTCTTCCAGTGAATCTAGAAGGCTGTATCCAGAATTTGACCAACTTCTCCTTATATCTTTCTCCCTATATCTACTGCTACTTAACCTGGTCCAAACTGCCATCCATTCCTGCCAGGAATATGGCAATAGCTTCCTCACCCTGTTTCTGCCCTTTCCTCGATGTATCCATTTCCCACATAACACTCAAAACTGTTAAAATATGAAGTCTTTCAGTTTCCCCTTTACTTAGAGCTACTTAAAGCTTCCCATCACATTAATAGTTAAAGACTTTAAGTAGCTCTGTTGCCATCTCTCTGGCTCCAGTGCTTTGTACATCTCTCTCTCTCTCTGTTGCACCTCTCTCACCCCAGGGCATTTGCATTTCCCCTGGCAGGAATGTTCTTTCCCTAAAAGTCCACATGGCCAGCCCTCTCACTTCACTCAAGTCTTTCTTCATGTCTTATTTTCACAAAGAGGCCTTTCCTGAGCACTCCACCAATGCACACACACACATCTTTTATTTTCTCCAGGTAGTCCTTATCACCAGCTGACATATTATATACTACACCAATTTCTTTACTGCCCCTTTCCTGCCACCATATGAAGACAAAGAGTTTTGTTTTTATTTTGCAAGCTGAAGCCCCCAAATCTGGAATAGTGTCTGGCCCGTAGCGGTTTCAATAACTTCTTGGAGCAGCTACTATCAATGCTGAAGGTTGTTTGTTAAAAGTTCTGTGATGACTCTTCTGAGGCACTTTACTTCACCCACTTGCACTGTGACCCCCTAGCTTGGCTCTGTTAATATATTGCTTTATAGTGGTTACTTCTAACTTACTTTTGGTTTGTCATCTAAGTCAAAAATTCTAAATGAATTTTCAAAGTCCATTTCTTCCCTAATATAAGGTTAAGTATTCAGGCTACTCATGTTATTGTTGTTATTGTTAAGTGCTGTTGAGTTGGTTCCAATTCATAGAGACCCTATATACAGTGTTGGAAGAGCAGCTGGTGGGTATGAACTGCTGATCTTGTGATTGGCAGTCCAGTGTTGATATGGCAGTGCCACACCAGGAGTGCTCCTCATACATTATTCCAGGAGGTTACTCATAAGTGGAATCCTGACGTGGCACTGTGGGCTAATGCACTTGACTACAGGGTCAGTTTAAACAGCAACGTCCGCAGTTCAGGTTCACCAGTCACTCCTTGGATATCCTATACAGCGTTGCTATGGGTCGGAACCAACTCAATGGCACTTAACAACAACAACTCATAAGTTATTCTAATTCAATTCCTTTCCAATATATAAAGTTAAATTAAACCTGAACTATTCCAGGGACAACTGGGGAATGGAAAGAAGATAGACATTGCCTTTAAGAGAATTTACTGTGTAGTAGACAGTTATAATTAAACAATAAGTTAAAGTACCGCACAACAGGTACAATAAGGACAGGACCTGGTGTGAGAGAGGTCACTGGCCAATCAGCACAATAAAAATTCAGACTCAAATGTCAGATAAAAATGTAGAATCTCATAGAAGGGAGATAAGAAAGATATATAACAACAAAGTACATTGCTTCTTTTATCACTGCTTTGAAAGATAGGGTGATTTTCTTCTTGTGGGAAACAAGGGGCCAAAATAATTTATTTGGTTTGCTTAGGAGGTAAGGAAGTAGGGATGAATAGAAAGAACAGTAGCTGAGAGTTAGATGTGAATCTACCACTGCAGCTATATTATCTATCTGCAAGGGCTGAGATCAGATGCTTAATCTCTATAGATCTCCATTATCTCATTGATTCATAAAAGTAGGGTATATGTAGAAATTCTGGAGAAGGTCTTCATACATACGTTTCCTGGGTTCTGAAAAGAGGTATTTCCCTATCCTAAGAAATCCTGGTGATTCAGTGGCAAAGTGCCCAGCTGCTAAATGAAGGTTGGTAGTTCAAATCCACTAGTCAGTTCATGGGAGAAAAATGTGGCAGTCAGCTTCTGTAAAGATTTACAACCCTGGAAATTCTATGGTGCAGTTTTTCACAGGGTTTCTGTGAGTCAGGACGGCAATGCGTGTGATCTAGGTTTTGGTACCTTATTCATCTAGATTATACATAGGCACAAAGGGCAGTTCACCTGATAACTCAAGAAAAAATGTTAAGGCTCTATGTAATAGTTTGCTAGCTTGGAACTAGTTTGCTAGTCTTAAATTGTGCTGGGTTTTGAAGATTCCTCATAATTTGCTGAGCTCTTCAGATTTTAATCAACTACTATATAAATATTCACACATATAAGTGAAATGGACAAATGATGCCTGGATATGTTCCTTTAACTTTTCTTTTTAAGCTTCTGTCCTCATGAACAAGATAAAAATCTTTCCATATTTTCTCTTTTCATTTGAAATGACAGTTCTGAATGAAAAATGAGTGTTTCCCATTTAATTTAAACCAACACTTGGGAATGATTTTTTAGACAGTATGTATTTACTTTTTAAATGGAAGCATGCCCCTAGCTTAATAACATATGACAGTGACTGCAAGATTGAATATAGTTTTCAGGGATATTTCCACATTCAGCAATTATATAAAATATCTGAAGGTTTTCTTTTTCCAGAGAAGCTTGTTGGACTAGTTGGGATTTACTGATTTACATTATTTACCTCCCTGCCTTCTTTCTCTTTCTATTTTTCAGCCTTTACAACTGGACTGTGACCTCTGTGCCATAGTGTCCAATTCAGGTCAGATGGTGGGCCAGAAGGTAGGCAATGAGATCGATCGCTCCTCCTGCATTTGGAGAATGAACAATGCCCCCACCAGAGGCTATGAAGAAGATGTTGGCCGCATGACAATGATTCGTGTTGTTTCCCATACCAGCGTTCCCCTTTTGCTGAAAAACCCTGATTATTTTTTCAAAGAAGCCAACACTACTGTTTACGTTATTTGGGGCCCTTTCCGTAATATGAGGAAAGATGGCAATGGCATTGTATACAACATGTTGAAAAAAACGGTTGACATCTATCCGAATGCCCAAATTTACGTGACCACAGAGAAGCGCATGAGCTACTGTGATGCAGTTTTTAAGAAGGAAACTGGGAAAGACAGGTGAGCATTTTCCGTAGCAGCCTTCTTGTCTTTTATGATAAATCTTTGCTGAGTCCTTTTGCCAGCTATCAAATGAACAGAGTAACTTTTTCAAATTGATTGCTATATGTTTTTGACTATTATGATTACTTGATGAACCAGAAGTTAAGCCTCATTTATTCCACCTACACAACCTTCTGTTCGCTTTCTTTTGATTGGCTTGAGGCTTCAAAAACACTGGATGCTTCACCAAGATGTCTTTATATCTTTTCTTATTTAGCTCAATTTGCTATTGATTAAATTGGGTTTTAATGAAAGTGGAAGCCCACACATTTCTGTTTTAAAATATAGACATGTTAAGAAACTTTAAGATTTCGCATTGACCCAAATTCCTTTGAAAATTGTGGTTAAATTTCAAGTAAGGCAAAAAACACCACCTGTTGATTCTCTAATGAGGTTGCATAGCTTTTGCCATGCAAACAGGCTCTGAGATCTTAAATACCATAACTTGTATCTAAAATGTCAATCAGAAAACCACCATGAAATTACACCTCACTTAAAATCATTAATAGTAGGATTCTTAAAGAGAAACAAAGACTAAATACTGTTCACTTAACTATGCAAACACTGGTTTACATTGTTTATTACATACATTTCTTTCACAGAATTTTGTAAATATTCCTTCCCGCTTCCTTTTCTTCAGACCCACTTGGCTTATTCTTTCCTTTCCCTGATGTCTCCTGCTTCTTTTCTCTCCTCTCTTTTCATCAACTTAATTTCCCACATAACTCTTTGCCTGCCATTTTTTTACTTCCTCATTAGGAAGGCAAGAAAGCTAGGAGAGGGGAGTGGAATTATGTTGGTTCATATATCTAGCTCTGATCAAGAACTGCTTCCTGAAGGAAGGTATTGAAATCAGTGACTTGAGTTTTAAATTATCTGTAAATTTTGCTGATCTGTGCATTTCCATAGATAAATAGAGTAGTATTGGCTATAACTCCAATGTTAACATTCTGATTTCTTCAGAAATTATGCCTTTCACTATTTAATATTGTTAAATCTATTATATTGTGATGTATACTTGCTTGTGTAGAGGGTACAGTTTCTGATCTCTCAGAATAATTTGATAATTACTGCAAAATCTCCTGTACATAGCTTGGGAATTGATATCTAGTGTTGATTTAAATTTAGCATTTCCTACTTCTAAGCATCAACAATTCACAACTTCATATGAAGTGCAAGAAATAAATAGCAATTTTTCTGGTGTGACGCTGTGGGTTAATGCTCTGGTTTGAAAAGTTGGCTTAAACAGCAAGGTCGACAGTTCAAATTCACCAGCTGCTCCTAGGAAACTCTATACAGTGTTGCTATGAGTTGGAACCGACTTGACAGCACTTCACAACAATAATAACAACTGTTACAGTTAGCAATATGATGATTTGAATCTATATAACATAAACTGTCCAAAAGAAACAGGCAATAGCGATAAAAGGAGTAGGTATGGTACTTTAATGTGGCAACCTGGTGGCATTTTAGGATAAGCACTAGACTGCTAATTTTAAGATAAGCAGTTCAAACCCACCAGCAGCTCTGAGGAAGAAAGATGAGACTTTCTGCTCCCATAAAGATTGAAAGCCTCAGAAACTCTATACAGTGTCACTGTAAGTCGAAATTGACTCAGTCTCAGTGGGAGTGAGTTTGATTCTATGAAATATTCTCTGTGTAGCACAAAGATGTGGCTTGCAAAATAAGAACTTGGAAAGAATAGCTCTGGGAGATAATTTTTATTATTGGCTGTGTTGAGGAAAGCTGTTTATATGGTGGAGGGGAAAAAAAGCTTGTTTGTGGCACTGTAGGATAAATACTGGGCTGAAGGTCAGGTTGAACCTCAAGGTTGTTGGTTCAAACCCTCCAACCGGTCCTCGGAAACCTTATACAGGCTCACTATGAGTTGGAACTGACTCAATGGCACTTAACAACAACATTGTCCAATGGATTATTGTTATTGTATTCCAATTTATAATGATTCATATGACAGAGTAGAATTGCCTCATAATATGTCCTAGGATGGAATCTTTATGGGAGCCAATCCCCAGATCATTTCTCCCTTGGAGCAGCTGGTGGATTTCAACCACTTTCCTTTCAGTTATTAGCCACGTGCTTAACCATTTTCCACTACTACCAGGGCTCCTTATTTAATGGGTTGTTGATAAGTTGTTAAGTGCTGTTGAGCCAGTTCCAACTCATAGAGACCTTGTACGGAGTGTCTGAGGAGCAGCTGGTACGTTTGAACTGCTGACCTTGTGGTTACCAGTCTAGCATTGATCCTACAGTGCCACACCAAGTAGTTACCAAAATAAAATTAAGAAAAAAAGAAACAAACCCAAAATGTGTTGATGTACTTTGGCATGATGCCTTCTTGCTGTCATTTGTACTAAGTGGCTCCGTTTCTGATTGTGGTATATAGTCTGTTGCTTCACTGAGTATTGCAACAAGACAGGAGATGATCATTTTAGGGTTTTGGAATTGGGCAGAAGAGATGGTATAAGCAGAGACTGATTGAATGACAAAACGTTGGCCAAAATGGCCTCAAAGACTTCTATTTCTACTGTGATTTAAGTTTGTATCCTCAATTTTAGTTTTGCAGACTTTATTGTCTCAGTATTTTCTATAGTAATCTGATATTTGTTGGCAAATTTCAAATAACAATCTTTTTTAACATTTTATGAAGAAAATCTCCAACTTATAAAGCAGAAGAAATAAAGGTGTAATGAACTTTTGTGTATCTGTCACTCAGCCTGAGTAGTTGCTACCTCATGTCTAATCTTGTTTCATTTCCTGCCCATCTTTCCTTTCCCTTGGGATTATTTTGAAGCAAATCTCAGACATATTATCATTTCATCTCTAAATATATCAGCAGATATTTCAAAAGATGAGGATTCTCAAAAATAAATACAATGTAACTGTCCTACATTTAAAAGGCACCAGACTGCAAAGCCGTTTGAACTGTAAGGTCGGCGGTTCAAGCTCACCAGCTGCTCCTGGGAAACCCTATATAGGGTCGCTATGGGTCGGAACCGACTCGACAACACTTCACAACACAACAACAACATATTTCATCTGTTTTCAATTTTCTCCAATTATCTCATAATTTTATAGTTTAATCAGTTTGTAGAAATCAAAATTAGCATACGGTCTGTACATTGCTCAAATACTCATACCAAGGTTAGTATAAGATTCATACACTGCAACTGATAGATATGTTTCCTCTATTTCTCTTACCTAATATGTATCTTTTTTGCTCTCTCTGTTTCTTTGTTGTTGAACACACCGTTTTTTGTTCTACAGAGTTTCTCACAATCAGGATTTTGCTGGGAGCATGTTGCCCTTATAGTAATTCATTGACATTGTTCTTTCTGTTTTGAGAATTGATAAGTTTCAGGTCCAAATTTTGGACAAGACTATTTAGGTGGTAATTCTCTTAGGAGTAATATTGTATGATTTTTCTGTTTTTATTATGTTGTTGCTGCTACTAGGTGCCAATGAATCAGCTCCTACATATAACGCCCAAAGTAAAACACAACAGAACATTGCCGTGCCTGCACCGTCTTCACAATATTTGCTATTTTTGTGCTCATTGTTGCAGCCAACATGTCAAACCATCTCATCGAGGGTCTTGCTCTTTTTTTACTGACAAAGTTTATTGTCCTTTTCTAGGGTCTGGTCCTTCCTGATACCATGTCCAAAGTACGTGACATGAAGTCTTGCCATCCTCATATCTTCTAAGTCAGGAGCATTCTGGCTATACTTGTTCCAAGACAAATTTGTTCATTCTACTGGCAGTCCATGGTATATTCAATATTCTTTGCCGACACCATAATTCAAGTGCTTGTACGCTTCTCTGGTCTTCCTTATTCTTTGTACAACTTTTGCATGCATATGCATCTATTGACTTGGGCCAGGTGCACATTATTCCTCAAAGAAACATCTTTGTTCTTTAATACTTTAAATAGGTATTTTGCATCAGACATGTTAAATGCAATCCATCATTTGGTTTCTTTTCTGTTTTCCATTACTGTAAAATCAGACCTTGTAGTATAAATATAATGTTAACTTTACATTTTATAACACATATGAAAGCTACGTAACTCCAACACTGAACGGAAATTAAAGTATCTATAGCTGCTCCTTGGAAACCCTATACAGAGTTGCTATGGGTCAGAACTGACTCAACAGCACTTTACAACAACAACCTTGAACAAAACCTCCCGTGTTTCTATTCTTGTTTTTGTTGTTGTAAAGTACCATTGAGTCTGTCCTGACTCATTAGGGTTTTTGAGAAGTGGTTGGGGAGTTTGAACTGCTGACGTTGCAGTTCAAACGGACCTAGTGGTCCAGTGCTTATCACCAGAACTCCATTCTTGTATAGTAAATTAATCTGGAAAATAACGTTCAATTGAATGAAGTAATTAACATTCATTTGAAGTTGTGTAATGTATCATATGCTTTGCTAGCGTCTGGAATTACAGAAATGAATAAAATGTATTCTGTCTTTAAAATCTGAGTCTATTATTAGCAAGACATCAACCAAGCTGGACTTACAATGTTGTGTGCTAAATGTTCTAGTACTGGTAAATAAAATGTGTGTGAACCTTAGATGACAGAACAATTGAAACTGACTGCTAGAATGTCTAATCATTCCCCGAATATTTCTAAACTAGTGACTTACTTCCTCCTCAAATGTTCTTGCTAGCTGCCATTTAAGCTGGATGCAGGACTAGAGCTGCCAACTCAAACACTTTGCAATATTTAGTCAGATAGGTATCAAATGGTGTGTACCATCATGACAATTCATTTTCCAAGTTATTTTCAAATGGCACATTTATATGTGATTTTATTGAGATTTCTTTTCTTTTCCTTTTTATTGTTTTGCCTTCCACTTCACCCAAGATACTGTGTTTCTACCTTCTAGTTAGTAATTTTCCCATTTTTACTGTTCTACTCCTGGCAATCATCAAACA